CTGTGCAGCCCGTGTTCTTCACGGGACTCGCCGATTCCGTACAGTGACTCGGCGAGTCACTATACAGAATCGCTCGGTTCTATCTAGAACAGGGCGATTCCCTGTTTTTTGAGCGATTTGAAAGGCCCACTGTCGATTCCCGAGTCGAACCGAGCGAGTCAGGTTCGACTCGGCGTTTTTTTAAACACTGGTTTATTGTCTATATCGGACCTGATAGGGATCTAGTCACCTGTTCTTTTGGCCAGTTTTAGTCTTCATAATTTTGATCCAAAATGAAGGATGTTTTTATTTTGAACAATAATTTTTTAAAACCTGGATTGGTATCCATGCGATTGATTCAGCTAGGTCGGATTGATTCTTTGGTGTGACAATCGGTCCAAAAAACTAAATAATACTTTATATTTGAAAAATTAAAAATTGATAAAAAATAAAAATTAAAATGCATAGGAACCTAGCGGTTCAGGTCCCTCACAGGCTCGCCTGGTACTCTAAGGGCCCATTTCAAAAAGAAAAGTTCCTTAGCTAAAACGAAAAGTTCCTTGGCTAAAAAAAAGAAAGAAGAAAGTAACAAGCCAAATGATATGAAGAAACAAAACACATTTCATTCTTGGAGTTCTACGCAAATAGGAGGAATTTTTTCTTAGATCAACCATTTAAGTCGAGCCAAAATGATATAGATACATGTTCTAGTTTCCATGCGTGGAATAAGTAATTTTGATAAAAGAAACACGTTCTGGGTTTAGAAAGAAAAAAGCGAGGCTAGGGCATTTTTAAAAAAAATAGTTGGGAGGTACCTCTCAATTTTATTATAATATGTAACTTTAAACAATCCAATTAAGGCGCACCTCCAAATTTTATTATAACATGTAATTTCGGTGTAAAAGCTTTTTAGGGTTATCAGAAAATCTATTTTTATATCTAATTATAAAATTTTAAACTCTAGAAATGGTTAAAATCAAGTAGATCTATCAACATATTAAAATCTTGAAAATAGACGGTCTAGATAATGTGTTGCGCTATTTTTTCAATTCAAAATCTTTTTTATTATTTTATATTCATACATCTTGATGTTGAGATGATCAATTAGAGGGTTTTTTGACATTAAAACAACCTTTTCCGATGGATTTTTTAGGTGCATCTGTATTTCTACATTTAAAAGTTGCAACCTTATATAAACTTTTTCCTAAATTAAATAATGTATTTGCAATAAACATCTTTGCCAATAAATTGGTTTTTTTACCACAACTTTGAATTTTTGAGGTGATTGACCATTTAAATGATATCTTCTTCTCTTTTTTTTTTTTCATACTTCTTTTTAAGGGTGCATATAGTATGCTTCCCTAAGAGGCAATTGTACAATTCCACAAAGCAATACCACCCACTTAAAAGGATTTTATAGACTCAAAATTTTACAAAATATTGTTAAGTCACCGGATGAATAATTTTAAAAAGGAAAATTATTTTTGAGCTTAGAACTTTGAATTTGATTGTCCATCGAAGTGATAGTCTGCATACACTATTTAAGCAGACATTCATTTGAATAATTTGTAAATTACAAATTCACATCTTCATTTTTAAATTGATCGATATGAAGAAACTGTTTTACAAACCACAACATAACATCTTGAGTTTCATTCCTACCATGGGTGGAGGACCCATTTTTTGTTGAACCACAAAAAGAACAAAAAAAAAAAAAAAAATACTTATTCACTCCATTTTGACCACTGAATCTTTCCCTATTTTTAAAAGTTGAAAGAAGAATAGAGCTTACAGGAATAAACCTTGAAAGGCAATACCCATAAAACATCATATAATAGTATATAATAGCATACCCACTGCAACTAATTAATACTGAGTTCACAAAAATATTGTATGACATTTCTCATACTCTCAACCTTCTCCTTAATCTTAGGAAAATCTCTCTCTCTCTCTTTTGTTTTTAGAATATAATTATTTTTTTTACCAATGTTACTTATTTTATTAATCAACAAAAGTTACGGTTACAACATTTAGCACTAGAAGCGAAGGCAAAGACGCTCCACTCTTAGCAAGAGCATCAACCATAACATTGGCCACCCTACTATATATATGATGAAAGGAAATATTCATTGGATCCACACCGATTATAGCTGCCACAACAACCTTTGCTCCTTATTGCACCATTAAATAACATTCAAATAATCTCCCTCCACCAAACATCACGTACCTAAATTCCTACTTTTGAAAAACCCACACCACGAAAGAGAGCAAGAATTTCAGCGTGGTAGTAGTAGCTACATCAATGGGACCAACATAGGTAAAAATGAAACCCCATTCAAATCCCTAACTACCCCTCTTACACCTGTTATACTAGGATTGCCAAAAGAACTCCTATCAAAATAAAGTTTGAAACCTCCCATCATAGGCGGAAGCCAAATAATTCCCAGCCAACATTTGACAATACCCAACTGAAACAAATTTCGAAGATTGAGCGTAACATCCCCCTCTAAGATTCCCCAACCCTCTTTGGTGATTGACAACCAACACCATAGGGTATGTTTAACATTGTTAAGAACTCTAGCCATTCAAACAAAAAACATTGTTAAGAACTGTGTCATAGGCTAAAATATCTCTATTAAAAGTTCTTTCCAAACTTTCCACATAATGGCTCTTCTCATTATTTTCCATATCACGCTGCCTACCTTTGGTAAATTT